ACAGGATCCTCACATAAGTCCCTGTTTTGTCCAGATGTTGCAGGATGAAGTGCAGTCCCATATTGACTGCATCATCCACGGACCTGTTTGAAAGGTAAGCAAACTGCAGGGGGTTAAGTAAGGGTCCAGTAATGTCCTTCAGATAAGCCAGCACCAACCTCTCAAATGTCTTCATGACCACAGACGTTAGGGCCACAGGACTGTAGTCATTAAGTCCTGTTATCTTGGGTTTCTTTGGGACGGGGATGATGGTGGAGCGTTTGATCATTCAGGTCTTCAGCAAGTTGTTGATTGGCCTCAGTGCTGGGGGATGGTGTCTTGTAGTTGGTGAGGTCTTTCAGGCCTTTCCACACTGATGCAGGGTCGTTGGCGGAAAACTGGTGTTCTAGCTTTTTAACGTAGTTCCTCTTGGCCACTCTAATCTCCTTATTCAGTTTGTTTCTGGCCTGATTGTAAAAGACTCTGTTTCCCCTTCTGTAGGCGTCCTCTTTGGCCTGACGAAGATGACGAAGTTTTGCTGTAAACCATGGCTTATCATTGTTGAATGTTAAATGAGTCCTGGTAGGGATGCACATGTCTTCACAGAAACTGAAATATGACGTTACAGATTCCGTGAGCTCGTCCAGATCGTTGGTGGCTGCTTCAAAAACACTCCAATCAGTGCAGTCGAAACAGGCTTGTAATGCACGCTCTTGTTTCGTTGGTTCATCTCTTTACACACTTTACTACAGGTTTAGCAGATTTAAGTTTTTGCCTGTAAGTCGGTATAAGATGAACTAGGCAGTGGTCAGACTTACAGTCCTACAGCTGCTCTGGGGACGGAGCGATATGCATCCTTTATTGTGGAGTAACAATGGTCCAGTATGTTTCTGTCTCTGGTGGGACATTTAACATGCTGCCTGTATTTTGGCAGTTCACGGGAGAGATTTGCTTTATTAAAGTCTCCGAGAATAATTAAAACAGAGTCCGGGTGTTGTTGCTCTGTCTCTGTGATCAGATCAGCGAGTTTCTGTAAAGCTGAGCTCACGAGCACTTGCGGAGGAATGTAAACACTCATGAGAATGAACAAATTGAACTCCCGCGGCGAATAGAACGGCTTACAGTTAATGAAGAGCACTTCTACATCGAAACAGCACATCTTCTTTAACACTGTTACATCTGTACACCACCTTTCATTGATGTGATGCATGTCCAGCCGCCACGCGATTTCCCCGTTGATTCTGCGTCTCAGTCTGCTCTGAACAGCTGAAAGTTCGGCAGATGTAGCACGCTGTCCGGAATAGCGTCATTCAGCCAGGTTTCTGTGAAACACTGAGCAGCAGGGTGTGAAAAATCCTTATTTGTCCGGGAGAGCAGAAGAAGTTCATCCGTTTTTTTGGGTAGAGCGCGGAGATTTGCCAGGTGAATGCTAGGCATCGCCGTTCGAAAACCGCGCTGTCTGAGCTTCACGACCGCGCCGGCTCGCTTCCCCCGTCTGCGCATCCCCTACAGAAGAGCTCTTGTGCTCCGCTGCAGCAGTGTTTCCACCAAAGGATAATTAATTGAAATGAAGTTCCAAACATAGGTTGGGAGGAGCCTAATCATTCAGGCCTGTCAATGATCATTACGAACCTATATAAGCAGTACTCACTGGACCGCCCCAGCGTCAATTCTTCCGGCATCCCTCCACCTCCCCTTCTCCTCCTCTGTTTCTATTATTCTCCCTCTAGGTAGTGCCCCAATGGGGCGGGTTGAACTCGGAGCTCAAGCTGAGCCTCAGGTTCGAGCCTCCATTGGGACAGCAAGCCAAGTTTGTTTACCATTAACCATCAGGACTGGATGGACAGACGAACTCGTGAATAAATATTCAACGTATGAACACTGTGACACTAAATATAAATTATATTTTCACACAGCTCTTTATATCAAGTAGTATATTCAACTATCCACATACACAAATGTGAATTATCCAACTCTCTCGTGAAACGAAATTCAGCAAATCTCAACGGATTGATTGTTTTATCATATAACATGAACTACATTATCATCCACCTCTAATCTGATAAATGCAACTGTAAGGCATGAAGATATTAAGATATTATAAACATTAACATCATGATTTTCTGTGAAGCTGCTTTGAAGCATTAATGTGTAAGCGTTACAAATAAACAATACAAATAAGAAGTGTATACAAATAAGAAAGAACTGTGCATTTAACAGAAGTGCAACAAATAACAAGGATACAAATCAACAGTATTCATCAAAGATAGACTGGAGCTTCACTACATCAGTGAGGACACACACACACCTGCCCACTCCAGCATGTCCTCTATATCGTCTGCAGCTCCAGGTATCAGGCGGCTCTGGTCAGTGTCCTCCAGCCGCAGGATGAAGGTGCCGCCGCGCTGCTTGGCGAACAGATAGTTATAGAGCGCTGTGCGGAGACCCCCGAGATGCAGAAACCCTGAGCAGCAGACACACAACAGATAACCAGGTTAAAACGCAGAAACCCTGAGCAGCAGAAACACAACGGATAACCAGGTTAAAACGCAGAAAACCTGAGCAGCAGAAACACAACGGATAACCAGGTTAAAACGCAGAAACCCTGAGCAGCAGAAACACAACGGATAACCAGGTTAAAACGCAGAAACCTGGTTAAATGCCTGCTGACAGCGCAGTTTATCTATGCATTTACACAGAACTATACTCAAACTGCGATCGCTCGTGGAGATAATAAATAGATATTAATGAAACTGGACCCAGCATGATTCTGAAGGAAAACTCTGTTGCTATAGTAACCACAACTTTCACACATATCTTGACAGATAAACCACACGCTCTTATGTCAGTGTTGTTTTTTATTTTGCGGATATTTCAGCAAACACTTTGCTTTGTACATTCAGTTTATAAACATTAATTTAAATTTAAAGACTGTTCCAAAACCTACTGCGCCACAGAGCACCACTCACATAGTTTTCCATAAAATCACATTATATTTGTCTCAAATTATTGTAAATATAGGCTACATAATAAGCCCGTTTCCACTGCAGGAACTTTCCCCAGGAACTAGGGACTTTGAGCCGGTACTCGGTGTGTTTCCACTGCAGGAACCAGGATCTCCTGCACAGTGAAACAGATGCTCAAGGCTACCCGGTACAATGAACCTGGTCCCATTCCAACGTTTAGTCCCTCACATGAGCTGTAGTTGGATATTAGGAGTCTCTGTGGCCATACACAGTAGCTGAACAAGTCAATGTATGTCCATTTGACTTAAAGCCCATTTCCACCGCGGGAACTTTCCTCAGGAACTAGGGACTTTGGGCCGGTACTCGGTGTGTTTTCACCGCAGGAACCAGGATCTAAATAAAGTTCTGGGTAAAAAATTGCCCCTCAGAAAGTCCCTGCTCGCGAGGTAGTACTTTTCCAAAGGTCCGGAACTTTCGGGGGCAGGACTTGAGTGCTGAACATGCTGATTGGTTGAGTTCACGCAGCATTGTATTTCAACCTCCATATTTGCATAATTTTCTAAATATTACTGTTATTGTGTCATGAAATGTAGTTTTAAAAGTATTTCAGACGAGAATGCAGTTGTTTAAAACTCAAATCTGCGGTGTATTTATAAAGACAGCGCCTATTTGAAAAAATGTGCGTACTTGGTATTGAGAAAAGCGCGCAGACCTACGTCACCAGACTGTTTGCCTAATCTTCTAGGTACTTTAGACCGCGATGGAAACGCAGACAGCAACAGGTCTGGGGGAAAGCTCCTGGGAGAAATTGTTCCAGGTAATTTCGGTGGAAAAGTGGCTAATGAATGAGAGGCTGGAAGATTGTGTGTTGTGCATTAGGGATGTCAATTTTCGATCATTTCCATGATCGATTGTCGTTTAAATTAACGATCAATTAATCAATTAATCATTAAGCTTAATACTGCAAAATGCATCTATTGCAGTGGCATATAGTCTCTGGCATGACAGGATGTGAACTTTCTCACCCGAATTAAAGGGGTTTTTGGTCTAAACCAGTGGTCTCAAACTCAATTCCTGGAGGGCCACAGCTCTGCAGAGTTTAGCTCCAAATCACACCTGCTTAATCCTGAAGAGCTTGATTAGCTGGATCAGGGGGCTGTTTCATAAAACTAGTTTATTTCAGTTAGTTTGGTTTCATAAAGCAAGTTTACCATAGCTCAAGCTCAGTCAGTGTGGTATGCTGGGGAACTAACCTGGTCAGGAGCAGGCTAAGCTGAGCTCCTCTAACTCTGACCAACAGGAACGCATTGATAATCACCACTGACTCTCACATACAGTTAGTTTACTTTATCTGTCCAAAAATAACCCTAACCCTAATCACATAAATAAAAATATAGGCTACAACCGACTGTATTTAATGCATTGTGCCCAAGATTTAATGACATTTTCTAAGATATATGAAAACATTTTATCAAGTGCATTCAGTTGATCAGCAGTTTCTAGCCATGGTTATTAGTAGAACATTAAAACATTACAATATTAAATTGCTCTTTAAAGCATTAAAATACTAAAATAAAAATGAAAATAAATAATAGAAAACAGACTATATTAAACTGATAAAATGAATACACATTAAATCATTTGAGCTAGTATTAGCTAGCTTACATTTGATTTAGCCTACAGTTACTGCTATCATAAAAATACACATATGCAGGGTTACAATTCTACATGTCACATTTAATGTCCAACAACAAATATTTTAGCAGAATGCATGTTTTATTCAGAATTATTGCGCTATTGTTCTATTGCGTTCCATCTGTGTAGCACGCAGCAGCGCTCGTTCTCTCATGTAAGCCTCACTTCTGACAGCTAAACGGATATATCTGCATGACTTTCTGACATTTACAGATGAAGAATAAACCTGTGACGTGTCAGTTATGCACGGAGGAAAACACAACGTCTCAAATGCATTAAACGGCACAGATATTCACTGTTTGCGATGGTGGAGCGATTTGATCCATGATCGACATTAAGAGCTGGTTAAGAATAAGCTGCACATCAAATGATCCTGACTCACTGAACCTGGATCGAATTAGTGAGATTGCCTGAACTTAAATCGTCGTTTATGAAACCGCTTTAGTCCCGACTGATTTGTTAGGTTATTTTAGGTCAGGTTTTAGACTTTAATCCCCGCTTTTCTTAGCCCTGTGGCCCTCCAGGAACTGAGTCTGAGGACAATGGTCTGAATAAAAGGCTAGTAGCAGGACTGTAAAAGGAATAGATGTGATTATGATCATTTGATCAAATGAAGAGATCTCGCCGTAGTTACTTTTGGGATCGTTTTACTCTGTTGGCTGTTTCATATCCCGTCACGGATGGTGCTCCTGGTTGTATTCGATTGCAATGTTTGCAGTTCACATTATTGGCATTTAGAATAAAGTGATCCCAAGCGTAACTGCGGCGGAGCTAAGGCAAAACACACTGCTGCTCACATTAAATATAATGCAAGTATGAGGTACAAAGCTTTGTTTCTAAGAGAAATAATAGGTTAGCAGCAAATGTTACATCGTGACCATGCTTCTGAATTCATGCGGTTCGATACCTGTACATTTAAAGCCATACGCCGCGGCTTTATGTTCTATTTTGCCGGTTGGTCACGAATTTCCACAACTTTAATAATATTTATGGTTTCTTTTCCCAAATCCTCACCCTCGAATTTTGCAGGTTTATTTTATTGTCATTCACTTTTAATCACTGTTTTCACATCTCTTACTGTGGTAAACATGCGGGGGGAAATGAAATGATTTCGTGGCCATTAATTAAGAATTTGTTCCTATGACTTACTTTGTTCCCTAATTTTTGTTAAATCCTGGGTGTTCTAGGGAGCTGACTGAGCGTTCGCAAAGACCCGCCCTCCTTAGTTACTGTTGCCATGACCACAAACAGTGCTGCAAAACAAAATAAGGTGAAACCTATGAAAATGGTTTAAGAAAGCACATGGTGATGGCGGATAACAGCGGCACATAATATCTGTGTTCTGATTGGTCAGATCGCCTGTCAATCAAGCTTCCTGTGAACGGTCAATTAATGAAACATGGACAGTGGCCACAAGTCACTATATATCTGTCCTGCTCGTGTCCGCAGCCCTGTCAAAGCGCAGAGCCCGATATCAAACAATTATCTGGGGAACGTATAATTAAACATCACTTGTTTATTACATTTCAATACAAAATAACTTTGTATTGTTTCTGGTTTAATGTACTTTTAAAGTTTGGATCACACTGGAAGCGTAATTTGTACGTTGTACGATCCAGCCCCGTCACCGTCACGGTTTAATCGACCATCCATAGCTTTAATCGACTGCATCTCTTATCGACAACTAATCGATCGTCGATTAATCGCTGACATCCCGATTGTGCATCTTTCAGCACAACGTTTGTCTTTCTGTCTGTATGCTTTATATAAAGAGCTAATAATAGCCACAGACTGCGCTTTCGTTTCTGCACTTCAAGCTTGTTGATTCCTGAAGTGAAGTGCTCTCAGAACGGTTCTGGACTCTTACTCCGCCCATCATGTATTCCACGTGCCCAGTTTTCTAGCGGACTTACTCTAACTTCTTAAGTACTATCAGTGCAGGCATTGGGCCGGTATGAGATTTTAACAGTATGATAACCTTAAGCAAAAATATCACGGTATTGTCGTTACAGCTCTAAATTGTGCTATTTTTAAATGACTGGGTAAAAAAACAAACCGCTGAACACAATATATTTTGTTTTTGAGCAACATACAGAATCAAATTTAATTTACGCTTACAGTCTTATGTACACTTCCACAAATATTACCCTGCGTATGCAAATCTTTTTGACGTCATTCTACCTTCATACGAAAACACCTAAACCTTACACATGACTTCCCAATGAGCTGAACTCCCGGCTGCCGCGCTGTTATTGACCGCCAGATGGCGAAGAAGAGCGCTGAGTCTGAAGCCGCGGAGCACCGAAGCAGTGTGGCGTAAAAGCCTCGCTGCTTCAGCAGCCTCGTTCGGCACATCTACTAGATATAGATATATTAGAGATATTAGAGATGTTACCTGTGGGACTCGGAGCGAAGCGGACGCGCGGCGCGGGCGCGGGATGTCTCGTGCACACGCCTCTCCTCCAGCACACTTTCCTCAAAACACTGAACATCTCTACGCGCCCATATCTGAGCTCGCCACTTCCGGAGAGCCGCCGCGCCACTTCCTGTTGCACAAGGCAAAACAAAAGTCTCTACTTCTACTTCTTCTTCTTCTTCTAATAAATAATAATAATAGTCATAAATAAATAAACGAATAAATAAACATCATTATATTCTTATATAATTTCCTGTATCTTTAAGATATTTTAACAAAGTTAAACTTATTCCTTTTTAGCTTATTTAATATATCTCGTAGCATCATGCTTCCACCTTCTTCTATATTACGTTAGCTTCTAGCGTTTGTCGTTCGTTGTTATATGCTCTACAGTGCAGCAGTGCATGCTCTACAGTTTCAACAATTCCACAACGCATGCATAATCCATTCGGATGTGTCTTGATTCTATTTAGATTTCCATTCAATGCAGTATGTCCTGTTTGAATTCTTCTCGTCTTCTCAATGCCATGCCATTGTCACGTACTCCTACTTCTCTTTGAGTTCTATCTAGATGTCGTCCAGTCTTCGCTTTCTCCCAAAGGTCCTGCCGTGCATTTATAAGAGCTTTCCTAATTATTATTTTTGCTTCTGCCTTAACTCATCTTTATGTCAATTCCTATCTGATTCAAGTTCAAAGAATTCTTAGCATGCTTATCTGCATTTTCTCATTTCCTTCAGCTCCAGCATGTGCTGGAACCCAAATAAATGAAATAAAAATGCCCTGATTTGTCAATCTATATACAGTATATATACTGCAGTATTTCCAGCATGACATCTCGTCTGCAGCTAGGCCTGATTGAATGCTCTTTAACGCAGCCAAAGAATCTGAACATATTACTGCTTTTGTAATGATATTTTCTTCTACCCACTGCAGAGCCATAACAATATCTGCTGTAAACACAGATAAAACATCAGCTAGGGGTTCTTTTCTCAATAACTATTTCATATTGTGGAATAACTACTGCTATTCCTGTTTTCAGAGTTTCTGCATCTTTTGAACCATCAGTAAATATCTGTATCATATCATAATGCTTCTGATTAGGGCTGCACGATTAATCGCATGCGATAAAGATGCGCGTTAAATATCGCATGCGATTAATCGTGCAGCCCTACTTCTGATCCATATATTTATTGACTCTTATTTGTATTGGGTCACACTCCTGTTTCTGCACTTCATCTGTTAAATACAGATCAAACATCCACGGTGGAACTGCTGACATGTGTACTGTATTACTGAAGTTTATATGTTTACATCTATCGATTCCGCTATTTCCTCCTTTTCCTGTCCAATATTCTCAATAATACTTTTCCCATATTCCCACCTTTTTAGAAATATTGCTTTAGTAGGGTGTTCATTGTTGTGCCCCATCACAGATGCCCAATATACCACTTTCAGTTGTTTACATCTTATTTCCAACGCATTTCTCCCATTTCAACTTGCATGGAAGCTCTAGGGGAAGCTTTAAATGGCCCACAACATAATCTCAAAGCCTGCGTCTGTACTGCATCTACTTTTGTTAGTAGAGACTTACTCGCCGACCCATAAATCATACTACCATAATCTATAGCTGATCGGATGATAGCCATATATATATATTCCTAAGATAACTGCTACTCGCAGCCCAATCACTGCTTCACAATGCAAAACAAAAGTCTCTACTTCCACACGCAGCACTGCATAAACACACGCTCGATTTGACCACAGTATTTGTTTGTTCATTTATTTATTATTAAATCATTCACATTCAACATTTTACATTAGCCATGGGGTGAACTCAAGGAAAGAAAGATACAAGATTGCAATGAAATGTTAACAATTTTAAATTAAAACATGGAAATGCTTACATACATTAATACACTTAACAGGTTTCGTGTTTGCCAGATTATAAATAGATTTTAGATATTGTTTAGCTTCTGATTTCAAAATGAGTAGTAATGATTTATAATCACTGTACTTGTATTTATGTATAATAAACTTTGCCAACAAATTAATCAAATAATATTCCTTATGGAATGACACGTCGTAAGTGAAAAAAACAAATAAAATATTTCCAAAACGAAGTTGAAAGCTGGGCATAATAACCAAAATCTGTCTGAATAAGGACAGCTCCAAAACAAATGAAAACGCGTTTTGACGCCTGACGTCACTGCTGTTTCCGGTTAGCTCCTGTAGAGGGCGCCACGTGTGTAATATTGCGCAAGAACAAGACAAGGTTTCAAGCACAAAGACGATTATAAAAGAGGGGTAAAATACATAAAATTATACTAAAACATATTATGTTGTCTTGTATGTATTACACCATAGAACTGTTACAGGCACACTTTTAGTTTCTTAAGGAATTCATATATCTTTCTTGGAGATAAAAAGAAGGTGTTTTCTTTGACCGTTTACATTTACAAATGTATGATTTTGCAAGAAATAATGGTAACACTTTCTATGAAGCCCATATTTATAATACATTATAAGGGTATTCTGAAGGCATTATAATGAATGCATGATGCATTATAAAAAACCTTATAATATGTTACATCATCTTATGAATATATTCATAAGAACAGTTTTAATATATTATAATATTTATACCTACCCTAACCTAGCCTACTAATACTCTAATGAGAGTTAGTTGACATGTAGTTGCACAGTTGCTTGTAGTCAATAGACTAAAGGGGATCATCAAAATAAAACGTAACCTAACATATAAACATTGATTTTTTTCAGTTGCAATTATTAACTAGCTGACATCAAAATTAATATTAGCTTCACAGTGAACACTCGAGATGTGTGAACACTCACAAGCTGTAGTAAGATACTGTGCAGATCTTAAATAAACAATGTCAAGATATATAGTCCATTATAAATGTAAAAGTGGATTTAATATGGTATTCATTGTGTGTTATAATAATCATCATCTTAAAAGTTATAACCACAAATGCGTAAGCATTATAATGTATTATAATTGTTGTTATGATTATTCATAAGATGATATAACATAAGGTTTTTTATAATGCATCATGCATTCATTATAATGCCTTCAGAATACCCTTATAATGTGTTATAAATATGGGCTTCATAGAAAGTGTTACCGAAATAATACTACAGTATTTATAAACTTAATATATTGAAAAGGGTCTGGTTTCAAGGAGTTAAAGATCATACATTTTAGCTGATTAAAAAAACAGACTTTGTAATAAAGTGAATAACTGTTTCATCTAACTGATGACAAAAGCAGCAACGGAGTGGAACACTGTTATTGAGGAGGTGTTTAATTTACTGGGTAAAAATGATCAATCCTTTCAAGAGAGACTTTACTGTGCAAAAGATATTTTGTCAAAGAAGCCGGAAATCCTTCCATTCTGTTGCACTGAATGTATTTCAGTCAGGATCTCTTAAGTCAAAAAGAAAACCATAGACAAGCCTTTAAGTCAACTTTTTTATTAGCATGTTTACTACAGTTACATTTGACAGTATGGCTCTGTTCCAAGTTCTCTGTCCTTTTCATGAGCTCCATGAAAGCCAGGACAGGGAAACAGCAGTCGCTTCAGGGGCAGCCCTCCTATTTTAAGAATAGGAGAATAGCACAAAAAAAACCCCAACAGACCATACCAGGCAATCCTCCCTGGCTCTTCCTGCTAAAGAAGAGCCAGCAGAGGAACCAAATGAGCGTTGCCGGAAGCCAACATTTTTTTATTAATTTTTTTTATTAATTTAAAATGTTATTTTTTGCTTTAAAATAGCCAATTAACTACGTGAAGTCAGCATAAGAAATGAAGATGTAGTAATAAATATTTATAAAAGTAAACACACCCAACAGTTACTGAAGCCATACATTTATTTTAAACCCTTATTAGGGAGCTGCACTCATAGCTTTTTTGAGCCTCAAGGATGGCTCGAGCGTCGGGTCGGAGGTAACGTTCATAAGCAACTGACGACCATCGGCCCATGGCCTTCAAGCTAGAGATAGGAGTGAAGGAAGATGCAGTTGTCGCAGCCCCTATGCGCAGAGAATGATCTGTTAGTTAGAATCAGAAATGAAAATTACTGTGCCTTCCTTGTTTTTATCAGTTTTAGAATGCTTGAGATATACGGTGAAGTAGTGAGAATAAATGGTTACATCAGAAATTGTGAGGTCTTGTAATGGATTAAAAATATCAGGACGTGTGGTAAATTCGCCACCTCTGAGAAAGAACTGAAGTGAGACCAAGCGGAGCCGTACATTTTTATTGTAGTTTTAGCCAGACCATTACGAATGTAGTGAGCTGCAGAGTGCAAATACGATTGAAAGGTCATGTCTAGTCTAGTACGGTTTGGCTGAAAGAGGGACAGACCAGGCTGGACGGCACTGTCTCCGGGCACAGGAGGTGGACTTTCTGACATTCAAACCGAGACAAAGAATCAGCGATTTGGTTGTTTAAGCCAGGAATGTGAGCAGCCCGAAAATTGAAGTTACTCAATATAGATAACCAAGTAAGGTGCCTAGCAAAATGGTTTATAAACGGAACAGAGGAGCGTCCCTTATTAATAATATTGACAGTTGCTTTGTTGTCGCAGAAGAACATGATTTGTTTCCTTGACCAGTGCTTACCCCACAAAATGCAAGCCATCACGATAGGGTACAACTCCAACAGAGCAGTTGACATGGTATTAACAGGTACAGATAGCAGTTCATTTGGCCATGCACTAGCAAACCACTGACCATTAAACACCCCCCCAAAACCAACGGAAGGCACAGCATCTGTGTGCAATTTAAGGGTTGCAGATGACTCCAACTCATCATAATAGAAAAACGAGATACCGTTCCAGTTGTTGAGGAGCAAAAACCAGAATCTGAGATCTGATCTGCAACCTTCATCTAGGCTAACTATATCATTAAGGTCTTTAACTGTCTTTGAGAAGTCAAGGAGCCTGGCTATAAAAGACCTTCCCTGTGGAATTATTCGCATTGCGAAATTAAGATGGCCTAGTAAAGAGAGCAATTCTCTTTTAGAAAAAGATGCAGATTTTTGAACATTTCTCATGACTTCTCTAATGCGATTTAATTTCCCTGAGGGCAGGGAGGCTTGCATTAG